ATAATGTGATTAAGGTCTTTTACAAAAAAATTTTCTAGTTTTCAAGTTTAGATGTTTTGATTTGCAAAAAAAAAAAAGAAGAAAAAGGATAATCAGTTTTAAACACATATACAAATCCTCTGATTAAAAGTAGTGAAATACATAACTCTATCAGTATAGTTGGTAATATGATTCCGTGAATAACTGTATAGGTTTTGGAATGCTACGATCTACTTCCAAAACTTAGAGAGGTTCTTTACATTCATGTTTGTGTTAAAAACAAACCACTTTTTGAAATAATCAAGAAGGCCAATTTCTGTCAATGAATTAAACAAGCCTGAGTTAAGTAATTCACCAAGTTAACATTTCCCAAACTTTTGTCATCCATACCCCCTTTCTTGTACACCCCTCCTTTTTTAAAACGAGTGAAAGCGTGATGAGATGTAATACACGAATACTCATTAAAATGGTATATGTGTTGTACTAGTTACTTATTATTTTCATTAATAAAAAATATATTGAAACACTTAATTTTGCATTACTGACTAATTAATTGCATCGACCACAAGGGGGGCATGTTCCACCCAAGAGATTATTTGCACCCCAAGGAGGAGGAACCACATACTTCAGGAAATGCTGCACAAAACAGTAATGTTTCTTTTCTTTACAATGTGCAAGTTAAGTAACAATTATATTAAAAGATATGGGACCAAAATACTTGCCTGGAGAGCGAGGAACATTAAATGTATCCATATCCTAGGGTTTTTGGTCTTCATAACAAAGTAGGTTTTGGTATATAGACAGTGTTCTCCTTGACCTTGACATGCAAAATGAAGCTTGGCATGTTTTTTGGCTTTTCTTTCTGAGAAGAGGTAACAGTGACAGATATTAATACGAACTATCATCTATACAATGTTGTCTTATAAAAAAATTTAGGCAGTTAATATATTATTAAGAATTCAGACATTCATATAAAGAAATTTGTCTTTATAACAGTCAAGCTCAAACTTATCAAAATATTGATCCAAGTGCAATAACTACTTTGATTTCCTGTATGTATATCGAAATAGCGTAAAACTTTTCATACTTCAACCGAGATGCCGGAAAAATAATAAAAAAAACATTAATTTCTGACATTCTGGAGCCTAAACTTACATAGGGCTATAAAGATGGATATCATCATCTTTCATGTTGAAGATAATCACACAGAGTTAACATAATAAATACAGTTTTATTATATTCTGTTCTAACCACGAATAAATATTAACCAACTAACCTTCAATAGTACATCTCACTGGAAGAGGAATTTTTACAAACACATGTTGCATGAAAGACTTGATTTTATCAAGGTGCTTTTTACAGAAGTGCTGAATGGCATCCCGCATTGGTGATGGCTCAAATACCGAAATACGCTATGTTAAAGAGAGTTAAAAATCTTCTTAATAACACATTTTACTGATAGACACAACAAATCTTTTAATCATTCTTCATTTCATTTCCATGTGATTTTGGTAACGGAATATATTAATCAAAGAAGGGTCTAGTACAGAAAAGTAAGAATTCAACACTTAATAGAAAGTTAAACAAAAAATAGTCTCTGTCAAATTCATGTTACTGTAGTATTTTGTTTCTTTTACTCTTGAATTATTATTGAAAAATAGGGTTTAAATTCTATTTTATTATCACTTTAGATCATACCCTCTAGCCCATCTTGGTCCTTTCCATCTGAGATCATTTTAGATAACAGTCAAAATGTCTTATACCAGTTAAATAAAGAAAAATTAATACATATCAAACAAAAATTCTTTAAAATACCTCTGTGAATGATATATTTTTTCCCCATTAATAGATTTAAAAGTTAAAGAAATTTCCATATGCCAGAAGGTTACTTTAAAGTATGATGCAATAAGAAGAATGATCGAAAAATACAAACTGTGTTCATATCATATGTTTAGACAGGTGTTAAAAATTAACCTAGTCTTCCACCTGTGCCTGACGAGATGGTTTAAAATTAGTTGTCATTTTATTTATTTATTGTTTTCACATTTTCATTTATTACCTAGTGTTGTGACAACTATTTTTAAAGTATCAAACGTAACTGGAAAAACGATATCCTATGTCAGTGATTCCCAGACTCGTTTAGTCTGAGGCTCCCTTGATGTGAATAAACATTTTGAGACCCCCAACCTATAAAAATGCCATAAAATGTGATTTTAAAATGCCCCCCCCACTACTTTAGCATGGTGATTGAAAAACAGTGCCGTAGTAAAAACAATAACATCTGCTTGAACATACTGTATCATTTAATTACTTTAACATAACTTTTATCGGCTTATTGTTTATTTAGAATTAGAAATGATTCAGCATCTTTGTTTTCGAGTTAATTTTTCGGCAGACCCCAGGGGACTACGGCTCCCACTCTGGGAAACACTGTCCTATGTTAATTGCTGTACAGCTGGGTTGGTATGTTACTTGGATGAATCTTGTGTGTTTTTAGGTGAGGAAGACAATTTGCTATAGATATTATTTATGTGCACACCTTGTTCTATTTCATGTTAAAAAAGTTTGTAGCTATCTACTTTCCACTTGGATTCACCACTCAGGTTTTAATCACATTGCGATGGCACAAGTTACAACATAACATACATTTATGCATAATGGACAAGATATTTTGAGAAACAGCTGAGAAGAACAAAAGTAGACAAGCCAGATCAGTGACACAAATGTTACCTGTTTTATACTTTAACTTCCATGCCTTCTCTGTTAATGTCAACAACAGTATTCTAACAATCCTTTATTAAACACTAAAACCACATCTTGTTTAACTTTCATAGAGCACTAATTTTATCTACCATTAATCTTTATTTGTCACATCCAAGAGTGGAAAGAAACTGAATATACAACTTTCAGTAAAGTTGCAAAGATGACGTTACATTTTATGCTACAGATCTTCAGTTATTGTTGAGAATTGGAACCAGTCAATACAATATATTTTTTGTAACTTTATTAACAACCTACAGTTAATAAATCAAATAATTTTAATTTGTTATAATAATAACAATTATAATAAATATTATCAGATCCACTGGTTCTTTTCTTACTTTATACATGCAAGTTTTTCACTAGGTGGACCTTAATGAGTGCAAATTTTCAAATAAAGAATTTAATACAATAGTTTTTTTGAATGATAATCAGTAATACTTAACTTAGTTATGTATAAAAAGATTCATAGAAGGTAAAACATGCATTTCTTATCTCAGAAAAAAAAAATATATATGTAAGACCCACCAGAACAAAAATTTGGTTGGGGTGGATTTAATATTTGAGGAGAAAGGTACAGTATGTTATTTACTTTTCTACAAAGTCTTGATTCCAAAAAATGTGTGCATATCTAATATATCACTGAAAACATTAATTAGTGTCAAAAGCACCTGTGTTCCAGAAGGTGATCGATTCCCTGAGTTTGTAATGACTGTAACACTAGTAGAACTGCTCTTCATTCTGGGAGTTTGAGAGTACACGCTTGCAGTAGATGGTGCTGTTGTACTACAAGGAGAAGAAGGCTCCGGGCTGCCATTGACAGAAGGTGATGTGACAGCTGAATGACTTGTGGCGGGAGTAACAGACAAGGAATGACTTGGATGGAATGAAGGTGCTTCACTGATGAAATCACTCTTGGCAGTGGAACTTGTTATAGAGACTGTCATTCTGTCATAGCTTTCTTCTTCAAGAACTGGAATGCTACTACTGAGTTAAGAATTAAAAAAATTAGTAAGAAATATACATTTTGCATGCTCACACACACACATTCAGAGTGTAACAAATACAGCGTTCAATTTATTATTGGGTGTAAAAGACCAAATGAAATGAGTACCTGAAATGAAAGACTTTTACAAATGTCGAACAGCATCTGGTAATTAAAGAAATCACCTGAAAAGTGTGACCTTCAAGTACCCACAATGTCTGTGTTTGGTAATTGAAGGAAATCACCTGGAAAGTGTGACCTTTCGGTTCATGAAGTGTTAGATAATGTCTGGTATTTAAGAGATCGGTGGGAATGACCTTCAGGTACCCAGTACTAATAGAATGGTTGTTTTTGTACATGAGATGCTACTTTTGTAACACTTTGCACACATATTTGTGGCTAAGCAATGCAAAGAATTTTATGTACAAATAAACATTAATATTAGTAAAACTAGAATATAAAATAATTAAAAAATTAGCTGACCATGAAACTGCAATTATGGAACGGACACAAATAGATGGAAAAAAAAATCATTTTAAGATCAAATTTCACATCTAGTTGTTAAATTTAAAAGCACCAGGTTGAAATATACTTTCACTTATCACAATGACTATTTTTCAATATAATATATTTACACACTATAGATAGTACCTTTAATCACAAGGGAACATGTGGTAAAAGAACAAAATTTTATTCTGCCACACGCAATAAGCCTAAAATGACATCCCTGATTTAAATTCAAAATGAAATAACTTCAAGAAATGTAATTAAAACACCTGCAATTGGGGACGGAACTAAGTGGCGATAATTGATCCCATAAAATTGCAATAAACCCACATCAGACAGCAGCTTAAATCTGGTGGGCTTGACCTAGGTCTTTTTGTCAAAAAAACAGTGAGCAGTTATTTTAAACGTTCTTTTGTTTGTTTTTTATTTTAAAGTTGACGTCTGCAAGAGATTGTGAAGCTTATTAAAATTTCCTATGTAATTAACAGGGGTTTCATTCTACTAATGAGATGAAACATGCATGTCAAGACAAGATGAGTGTCAGGCTTTATAGGGCCGCAATTCTTTACAGTAGGTGTCTGTGACTTGTTGATGATAAAT